TAGTATTTTTGTCTACTTCTCTAGATCTAGGTTCTCTCTTCACCTCCCAGTCCATCAAGATCACCCATAATTTAGATTCAATGGTAGCCAGTCATAAAACCTAAATAAAGAATAAGAGAAATCGATATAAATATCAAAAGATATTCATAAAAGCTATAAAAAGAGTCAAAACAAAACTAATAAAAACTAGCTTCCCAGTTGGGCTACATCCCTACCCCAACTGGGAAATTTAGAAACTCATAATAAAATAAGCTATAAAGAGTATTGTTCTAAGATCCCCAAACATGATAGAATAAAGGAAGAAGAAAAGAAGAATAAACTATCGAAGGATCCAATAGAGGTCCTTTGCTCAGCTGCTGTCACAGGATGAACAAAGGTAGCAGGTTCGCTGATTCGCTATCGCAAACAATGATCTGTTGCTGTCTCTGGGAATGCTCTCTGATGCTTGCTCTCTTCTCCTAGTTGCTGTATCCCCAGTTCCTATTTATGATGCTTTTGCGTCTTCTCTCCCTTGAATCCCTTAAATCCACCGCTTTTTGTCACATCTCGAATTTTGGGCCAAAAAGTACCGAAATTAGCCTGAAATGAGTAGGGTACCGGACCTTTTTTGGCAGAGGTCCTAGAGATTCCCTGGAAGGACAGCAGGATTTCTAGGGACTAAATCGCAAAGGAAAAGTTTTCTAGGACTGAGAAAAGAGGAAGTTATAGACTTAGAAGAAGTCTCGGGGCCCAGGATTGATGAGAAATAGAGATAAATATAGGCCAAAGGTTATGTTGGAGGCCCCAATGACATGAATTTTGAAGTTAAGCCAAATTAGGGGCAAAATCGTAATTTTCTAAAGTTTTTGGCTGGAAAGGACAAAAAAAAAATTATGTCTGAAAATCTCAAAAAAATCCCAGAAAAAAAGAAATGGTAGGTTAAGGCCTAAATACTTCAGAAAAATTTCAGAAAAATGGGGATAATGTTCAGAGGCCTATATAAGACTAAAAATGACAAAAATACCCCTAGAAGGAAATTGTGGAATTCACAGGGTTTTGACTGATTTGGAATATTTTCAAAAATAAATTATTTAAAGTACAGGAAGGCCTCAAATAATTGGAAGAAAATGAAAAAAAATACTTAAGGAATTATCACAGGTTTTAAAAATAATTCTGTCCCCAGAAAGCGAAGAGGTTGGCTTTAATGGAATTTAGAGCCTATTTACATATTATCTGGGAGAAGTCAAAGGTCTAGAAGTTGACCTTGGAATTAAGAAAAATTAGAGGAATTCTCTGTGATGAATAAATAGTATTGGTACTCGAAGATAGATTCTCGGAGTTGTGAATCGGTGGAAAGAATTCAGTCAAGATCACTCCGAAATAAATATTATTAATTATTTTAATTATTTTAATAGAAGAACAAGGGAAGAGCATCACTCTCTCTTTGGGCATGTTATATAATGCCATGTGGATTTATTTGAGGTGAGAAAATAGTGCCATAACATGTTCCAGTGGTCTCGGGAAAGTCAGGACCCAAAAAAAGTACCTTATATGGTGCAGAATGGCAAGATAGGAATACCTAACGGTTGTATTTTACACAAATTTCATATTAATTTTTCTCCTATTTTAATGCCAAAATGATGAAGGAATATGAAAGAAACAAGTGTACCGTTAGATGGGAAAAAGAAGTATTATGTGTATGGCTGGATGCAAGACACGTGTACGGTTGAATTAAAAGCATGTGAATTGATGATGTAAGCATGATGTTATCAAGATGATATAAACATGATGTCATGGGACACTTGTCACCACAAGATTAAAAGAGAAAATAGACGGTCCAAATCAAGCTACACATTTTTAAGATCAACGGCCTAGATTCAGTCTTGTTTTCTATAAATACCCTCTCCCCACCCCTCATTTTCATGTAAGCCCATGGAACCTTGGGGAAACTCTTGCAAAATGGATTCTAGAGGGAGAGAGAAAGACTAAGTGGTCATATGCAAGACCAAGCTCTAAAACAAGGTATGTTCATAGTTTTAATGTGGTTTTCACTACTCTTATTGTTATTGAGCTTGGTTATAGATTTTAATGATTTTTGGGAGCTTGAAACTCTAGGGGGACATGCTGCACAAAATTCTTAAGAGTAAGGGAAGATGAAATTGATGTTAGAATAATGTTCAAACGCTCGAAAGGAACACGAATCAAGTGGCTTTATGTTGAAATTGGTTGAACTTCATGATTATGTAACTTGAGTAATATTTCGGCCAGGGTTCATTCTTGGGGCTAGGATTGGATTTTGATAATTTTGATACTTTCAATGTGTTTAAAATGAAAAATCTTACAGGGTCAAGGTGAGAAAAACAAGTTTGGAAGCATTAGAATTGAAAATGGAATTTTACACCCTAAGACCCCATGTTCGGCCAGATCAAGTTGAGTAGGGAGGATTTTGATTTTGATTATTTTAAGCTTGAAAATGGATTCTACATATAAAATTGTGTGGGAATAGTATGTGGAATTAATTTTAGGAAGGTTGGAATTCAAGCTCAAAAGTTAGAAGCTAATATAGCTCAAAGAAAACAAAGTATTGATGTTGTTGATTACCATGGCTCTAATGAATAAATAGAAATGATTTGTTGGTACATTTAGGACTGTGAGACATCAAGGAAAAGCAATGGCAAAGGTTAAGGAAGCAACCTTAATGGTTGGAAGCAAAAGGGAGCAAGTTGAAGAGTAAGAGAAAACTTATGATACAAGGTAGCGAACTGATCTTTCTTGTGTGCTTGATGTGTATGTGTGCATGTGCTATGAATTCCATGATGTGACTAAGCTATGCTGCCGAATTATGATTGTTATGATTAGTTAAGCATGCCTTGGCATTATGTTATGTGAATATGAATGACCTGGCTTACTTTCCATAGCATTTCACTATGCATAAACAAGAAAGTTGTGCACAAAAGCATGTCATACACTTGCATCCATTTTGCATGCATAAATGGTAATGTTTGCTACTGAGATTCTCCCGAATCTCACCCTCCCTTAACCAACCATACTAGGAGCAAGAGAATGGGAGAAGAAATCAAGAAGTGGAGCAAGAAAGAGAAGGAAAAGACTTTAACAAATGTATTACATTACGTTGTATACTGTATATACTAATGTATGTTGTAAAGGTGCCATTGATAGTATGTGATGATAAATGATGCTGTTGGCTTGTGCAATTAGTGATGATAATGTATGGAAATAGTTAGTGTATGAATGGAATGGTATTATGTATGGAAAGTCTTAATCATGAACTGTTAGTGCAAGTTAGGGGATAAGCTATTCCTAATTGAGCAACAAATTAGTGATGGATCAGAAGTATGGCAAATAACTGACTCTGCCTATGAAATTTGGCATGATTAAAGTAAACATTCTGAGCTTTAAAACAAGTGATAGATCACTTAAAATGGATGTGTGTGTTAAGAGTTATGATTTCTCAAAATTGGACTAAAAATCTAAAATTTACTAGTAAACAGTAACCTAAGAAGCAATTGCCAATTTTCAATCTATGGGCTTGTTTTGTGAATCGCTTGAACTATAACGCTTCCAAACACGTGCTCTGAGAGGTTAAAAGAATGATATTTCACTTTTTATGCATATATCTCCTTCAATATAATATATTATATTATATCATGATGATTTGCCTTGCTTCACGTAACTTCACACGTCTTACCCTCTTAATATATATATACACACACACACACACACACACACACACACACACAATTATATATATATTATATTTGTTACAATTGTTGCTCATGTCTCCTGCATTAAAAATAATAAAAGTTTTGAGTAGATTTTATCTAAGATCATCTTTTATCCTATAATTAATAAAAGAGAGAAAAATCTACAAAAGATAATTAAATAGGTACAAGATATCTACAAATTTCACCAAATAAATCAAAATATACACCTATTTAATTATAAAATATAGACTTATCACAGGTCTCTATATACAATTTTTTTTTAATTTTTAAGGTCTTTTTTTGTGATTTTTTAGTTAAGTAATTGCAATAAATTTTTGAAGGCCCCCCCTTTAGAGCTAGAGAAAGCTGCCATGCAAATTGCTATTTGCATAGAAATAATATTAGAAGTTTAGAATTCTGCCAAAAAAAATCTGGAAAATTTGCAGTGCAAGAAAGTTTATAATAGCGATAAAGATTTAGATTGTATATATAGGATAAACTTTTTGATTTTTAAACGTTAAATTTTTGAATTTTTTTCTGATAAATATTCTTAATTGCCGAATATTTAAATTTAAGGATCTACTGATAAAAAAAGACATTATGGGATAAATTGGTCTATTGGCACGGCATTCCATCTTTAGATGGTCCCCTGACTTTTACCAATTTTTTATTCATAAAAATAATAAAATATTTTTCACCAAAAAATAATAATAAAATAGAGGAAAACAAATATTATAAGTATTGCTTCTAAATAATTCTATGTCAAATAAAGAAAAAATGAGTATTCTTTACAATTATTCACTGTTGTGTGTTTTAGTTCTTTAAATATTTTTATTGGTCGGCATTCTTTTATCTTCTGCAAGTAGTAGTTAAAACATATAAATTCATATGTTATTATGCGCATTTAATTTCCTATAGATTTTATTGTTTTTCTAATTATTTTTGCATGAATTATCAGATTAATCATTATGTGTGTGGGGGTGCATGATAGTATTTTCTCATTCATTGGCCTGTTTTCTATCACTTTTTCAAAGGAACTTGGGGAGATGAAACCAAGTTAAAATAGAAACTAATTTTAAATGTGATGAATATAAATAAACTGAATAATCGCAGATAGCTTAGTTAGCTTCAATATAACTTGAAAAGTTTTTGTATAATTTGTCTCTTTTGATTTTTTTTAATTAAACAAAAGATGATGGTTTGATTTCTTTGCAAAGAGAACTTATTTCACGTTTGAAAAAACAAAATAGTGTGAAAGTGTGTAATTGTTCGGAAGGAAGCCAGCTGATAAGAAGAATGTCAAGCCGTAAAAAAGTTCTACTTGTCCTTGATGATGTGAGTGACACAAGCCAACTTCAGAATTTGGCTGGAAAAGGATGGTTTGGCATAGGGAGTAGAATAATAATAACAACTAGAGATCAACGTCTGTTACTTGAGTATGGTGTTTCTCAGTATAAGATGAATTTCTTAAATCAAGTTGAGTCCTGTCAACTTTTTCTTCAAAAAGCATTTAAGGGAGATCAACCAAATGGAGATTTTTTGGAGCTTTCTAAAGTTTTGATCAATGCTGCCAACGGACTTCCATTGGCACTCAAAGTGCTTGGCTCATTTCTTTGTGGAAGAAATAAACCAGAATGGAAGGAAGTACCCAAGAAGATTCCTTCAAATGGCATTTTTGATATACTAAATGTGAGCTTTGATGGATTGCAATATAATGAGAAGAATACATTCTTAGATATTGCTTGCTTTTTCAATGGGATGACCAAGTATGAAATCATAGAAATTTTAGAAAATAGTGGTCTGTGCCCAAAAATTGGAATTGGTGTTCTTATAGAGAAATCATTAGTAACTGAAGTGAAAGGATACTTGAGGATGCATGATATGCTTCAAGAAATGGCTAACGAAATTGCTTTTTGTAAATCACCCGATGATGCCGGAAAGCATAGTAGGATATGGTCCTTGGAAGATGCTAATCATGTGTTGGCAAATAAGATGGTAACATTCCCTCCCTTTTTGTGACTGCCTTCTTAATTTATCAATATATTCCATGCATTTTTCATGTTATTATTACCTTGACTTATTGTTTTTTATATATAGGGAACTGAAGCAATCTGTGGTATAGTGGTGAATTTTTACAAACCATGTGTCATACAATTGAATCCTGAAGCCTTCTTTAGTATGAGCAATCTCAAGTTACTTATCGTATTAAATTCTTCATGTGGCCAATTGAATCTTCATATACTTAGCTGCCTTTCCAACTCACTGAAAGTCATAGAATGGGAGGAGTATCCTTTAGATTTCCTGCCAAGTCAAACTCAATTGAATGGACTTGTTCATCTTAAAATGCAACACAGCAAATTAAAAAAACTTTGGAGAGGAAATCAGGTAATTAAGGTCATTTGCTTAAATTTGTTTGTCTACAATTGATGCATGTATCACTAGCCAGTTGCTGGTCTTTGAAGCTTTTTTTTTTTTTGGTTCTTTTCACATTCAACAACCTTAATCAGAACACCAAATTTCGATGATACTCTTAATCTTCAAAGTTTAATTCTTGTAGGGTGTAAAGTCATTGTTGATTTGAAAAGTTGCAAAAGTATTAAAACTCTTCCAACCACATTGGAGATGAAGTGTTTGGAGAAATCTATTCTCTCTGGTTGTTCAAAAGTTAAAAGGCTTCCTAAGTTTGGTAAATGTATGGAATGCTTATTGGAGCTTGATTTAGAAGGGACTGCTATATCCAAACTACCTGAATCATTGGTCAATTTGAGTGGTCTTGCTGTGTTGAATTTAAGGTGTTGCAAAAATCTGGTATGCCTTCCAAGGGATTTTCAAAAATTGAAAGCTATAATGAAAATCAATCATCAGGGTTGCTCGAAGTTTTCAAGGCTTCCAGAGAATTTGAATGAAAATGAGGCATTGGAAGAGCTTTATATGGGTAGAACTGCTATAAAAGAAGTGCCTTCATGCCCAGATAGTTTTAAAGTATTATGTTTTTCTGGATGCAATAATTATGCACAACCTCCTTTTTCAAATCTATCATGTTCTCTGGCTATGTTAAATTTGAGTTATTGCAATCTTCATGATGGATCACTACTATTCAATGAAATCAACAATTGATCATCATTGGCAGCATTAGAGGTGAGCGGAGACAATTTTGTTGAGTTTCCTTTGCTCCTCTTTTCCAAACTTCGAAAGCTTGAATTTATTGCTCTCAATGATTGCCCAAGGCTTCAGTCTTTGCCTCAGCTTCCACCAAACATATCACTTATGCAAGCTGGTGATTGTCCATTGTTGAAACATTATGTACGTTCACACCAACTACGGAAATTCATTGGGCAATTTGAATGTCAAGGTAATTTCATTTCTCGTCACTATTATTTCTTGCACATTAGTCATTATAATTATATATCATGCCAATTTTTTTCTACAGATTCGACACCAACGCGAAGTCTTGCAGAAAAGAAGAAAATTTACTTTTTTAAGTGACTACTTATCTGGAATTGTAACTTCGGAATTGCAAGTTGTGAGTTATTTGAATTCTCTTCAATTTGCAGCTTATTTGGTTTTCTTATTTGACTATTTCTTACTCATTAATTATTATACATCTAACATGAATAATTTTTCATCACAATCTCCTGATGACTTCTTTATGCAACCTACTCGCTCATTGACTATTCTTGGTAGTGACATGCCACCATGGTTTCATAGTCAAAACTACTTTTGTGCGGAAGATTTGCCTTATTGGCATATAACAAATGTATCGTTCATAGTAGACATGCCTGATCCATGCTGTTCAAGTGAATAGTGGGGCATAGCCGTATGCTTAGTGCTAGAAAATGATACGGAATATGCAAGAGTTGATGATTTTGCCGATCTTTGTTGGACTTGTAGAATTTCTAATAGCGAATATTCAGATTCGTAACGTGTCTGTCCAATGTTTTTGCAGTCTAGATGTAGTCATCAACGATGTATCATCCACATTCGCTTTTCCTCGTTTGTTGGGAAACAACTTCAAATGGTATTTTTCACTAAGGTACGTGAGGACGGGAAGTCAGTTTTTAAAATAGGGCAATGTGGATGGCGTGTGGTGTGTAAAGAAGATGTTGAGAGATGGCGAAACACATGAGATGAAGGTTGCGGCATCAGTAATAATGATCAGTTTATTGTTGAAGATGAATCCACCTATGACGTAGAGACCAACCCCTCTAAAAGATGGATAAAGTTGAACCAACTGCCTCAAGGTAATAAGCTTAAATAAATGGACACATGCACTTGGTATTACAAATTAAATCTTTTTGTTTTTTTATCTTTTTAAATTTAATTAGTGGATGAATAAAATATATGTGGCATTTCATTATGCATAGTTATATTGTTATTGCTTTCTCACTCTTAATTGGTTTGTTAAAGGAAGAATTACAATAAAATCTCAAGGAAAAAATATAACTACCAAAAGGTTTCAATAATACTTTAGAACATGTCATTATAGGTTGCTCAATTGTTATTGAGATTTTTAGTAATTATTTTTTAATGAGATTTTTCAGAACTTGTCATTACTTTTTTTGGGACTTTGTTGCAATTCTCCTTTTGTTAAATTATTATTCTCACGCATATGTAGAAGTTATGCTTTGAACCGTGGAGATGGTGGGTGATTGTGGCAAGTGGGGCATCTTTTTGTAATGCCAGTCTCCTAACCTTTAAAAGTTTATGTCGTTCAAAAAATTTTCATTGAGGTTTTACTTTTATTATATACTACTCATGATTCTTAATATAAGAGTTAGTTGATTAATTTAAGTAGATTAAGAAAGTTTATTTAGTTATTTATAATATTTAGGTGTTGTCTTTTTTAGAATACCCTTGCTAATTAATAATATGTATTAGCTAAAACTATCATTTAATAAAATCCTTATGATGAACAACTATTATAAGGATTATTTTGAAAAAAAAATAGATAAATATAATAGACAAAGTGGATTGATGTTTTATACTAAGGATCAAATTTAATGTCAAAATAGTCCTTATATTAAAGATGGGAGGTCATATTTGTATATAGAATATAGAAAATACTTCTCTTTGTGCTTTAAATGTGCATATTATATAGTCATGATTTTACTCAATTTATAGCTTATATATAAATTATTGACAAATCGCTATTTTGTTGTATTTTATACTCCATCCATTCCTTATTATAAGAGACAAATAACCGAAGTACGTTGATCAAAAAAACAGTTAAAGTTAGTTAAGAACAATTAATGTATAAAAAGTATAATTTTTTTCCAAAAATGCCCTCATTAATAAGGAGAGAGAGCATGAGAGAGAACAATTAAATTATTAAAAGAAAGAGAAGTGGAAGGGAGAGAGAGTGTGAGTTGGAGATAATAAATATGGGTAAAATAGTAAATCAACACAAAAAAGTAGAGACAACTTGTAAGTGTCTCTTATATATAGGAACATGGCATAAGTATCAAGTGTCTCTTATAATAAGGAACGGAGGGAGTATCTAATTTGGAGATTTTATTATGTTACTGAGCTTAAAATGCAAATATTATGATTATTTAGGATTGGGAGTCATTGCATAGAGTTAATGTTTAAAAGTGATAAAAGTGTCATATTTTATGATTTCTCCTAGGTACTTGACTTTTGGGTTCGTTTTGCTGGCAACTTGGGAGATGATAGAAATTCAGAGGTGGATAGTGACCATAGCAATCAATGGTTAGAATGAATGACAAATGGGGTGTAGATAAAACGAACCGTTTGGAGGTGGGATTGGATTTTCTACTTCTCGCTGGCATCTTCATTCAGATTCACAATCCCAGAAATCATCCACCCACCATCACAATCTCCATCTCTGCACACTTGGGTTTCTCCGTCTTCTCCATTCCATCTCTCGATTCGGCCCGATTCTTCCACTGATTCCGCATCCTCCGTCGCGTTCTGCCATGGCGGCTGTGACTATGAAAACATTCGGTGGGGCTTCCACGGAGCAGAGGCGGGGGCTAGGCGTTCGATCTCTCAGGGCAGTGGGCTAGTGGCTGGAGCTCGGAGCTTATAGGGGAGTTCATTGCATCTATTATTCCTCTTCTTCATTGCATTTCTAATTCTAGGTCTTAGAAGTTAGTTGTGTGATGTTGAAAGAATGTGATGACTACTGTGTTAGGGATTTGGATGCTACTGATTCGTATTGTGATTTGTTTCTGGTTCTTGATTTAGAGTATGATTGATCTCTTGCATTAAACTGGTTTCATATTTTGGCTGCGTTAGAGGCAGATCCATAGGGCAATCTGCCGTCATAGTTGAGCTTGACGAATTCGGTCTTGAGCATCAAATTAGGAATAGATTGTTCAATATCTCCACCTGGTACTGCTCTGCGATCTGTTAAAGTTCCAAATAAATTCTTATATGTAACAAGTATTAGTACTATGTAAATTTTGTATACGAAGAGTATTGACATTTAATTAGTATTAGTATCAATTTTTTCCCAATTTTTATTACTTATGTTGTACTTCTTTTTAATTATTGTTCTGATTATCCTTACTACTACGGAGTCAAGGAGGGAGGAAAGAGTGGTGAAAAATATTTTTCAGCGTAAAAATTATTTTTCATATTTTTTTATTAAAAAATCAGGCTTTATATTGGAATCCAAAAATTTTGATGGCGGTCAAAGTCGTCTCATGGAGTCAACATAATGTCCTTTCGAAGAAGGTGGCACTGTGGGAATGTTTTACTTTCTTCATCAATACAATGATGCCCATTCCAATAAGTTTTTGTTTTACCTTTTTTTAATTATTTTCTATTTTAGCCTTGCTTAATTACTACGAAAGCCGGGAGGAAAGAGTAGTGTTAACAGTACTGGAGGAATGACCCGTAGTGCCTACCATGTAATTAATAGAGCTGGTTTTGTCTTAATGTTTTTTCCCTCTCTCCTTTCCCTTTCATTCTCCTCACCATTAATTATAATGTTAAAGGTTTAGATTTATACTATTAAAATTTGATCTCAACATATTGTTAAAATTTGATGTAAATAATTTACAAAACTAAATTATTATTAAAAAAATTTATTTTTTTACTTCATTTATGGATTATTCAATTCAAATTTTAACTGTTTAAATTTATTTATATTTTTTTATAAATTTGTAATAATAGTTTTATAAAATATTGAACTTGAACCGTTAAAATTATAATCAGTAGTAATGAAAATAAAAACAAGGAAGGAGAAGATATAATTAAGTTGGGTCATCCAAAAGAAAATGACAAAAAGATAGAAATAAAAGAAGGTGAAAAATATCGGTCCAAACAAAAACAAGAAGGCGAAAAATAAAGGCAAACCACGTGAAGCTGATTGAGACTATTTGAATTTAGTGGAGCCGATTGAGACTATTTAAATTTATTTTTATCTAAATAAATATAAAAACCACAACTTTTTTCATCGTACTTGATGATGAGAACGGATTCAAAAGAGAGGAATGAACAGAGTTCATTCATATGCTTCATAGATATAGACACAAGACACCCCTGCCTCGTCTGCATCCATTAGATAAGTTTAAAAGATTCCACTTTGGATTAATTAACGAGGACATTGCTATTGTCATTTGTCATGTACCTTCATCTTTTTCCTTCTTCTCGGATATCAAATCATCGTTGTTTCTTGTTTTCTTGAAATCGTTAGGAGTATTTTCCTAGTGTCAAAGGCTTTTGAAGCCCTCATAGTCCTTTCAAAGGATGAGATGGGTGAAGCAAAACTAAGAAAATTCTGTCCGTTGAACTACAGGAGGCCCATTATTTGAGTATAACCACACAAGTGGGGAGCTCGTTCAAGGTGAAAGAAAGTAAATTTTTCATGGTACAAGGAGCAAGAAGTGAACTTCATGTCAAAAGGTAGGTATGAATCATATGAAGGAAATATATCAGATTTCATGTCCGGCCCAGATCTCTCAGATTGTTGACAAGTGAAGTCCCTTTACAAATTGGACACCTTGACACTATCCATGCATTAAATTTGTCAAACAATCACTTGTCAGGGCCTATTCCGAAAATATTTTCTGACCTTGTACAGATAGAGAGTTTAGATCTTTCAAACAACAAATTCACAGGCCATATTCCTTCCCAACTTACACAGTTGTATTTTTTGTCTGTCTTCTCTGTGGCTCACAATAATTTATCTGGAACAATACCTGATATGAAAAATCAATTTTCAACTTTTGGCCCTAGTTGTTATGAAGGGAATCCTTTTCTTTGTGGTCCACCACTACAGCGTAAGTGTTCATCTATTGATAAACCAGCAGGGAGAAACAAACAAGAAGGTGGCTTCCGAGATGCCTTCTTGTGGACGTTTGCCGGAGCGTTTGGTGTCTTCTTTCTAGGTGTCATTACCTTCTTGTATTTCAACTCTTACTTTTACAATTACAAATGAACAGAAAGAGAATTGACAAATTACTTGTATGGGCAAAAGTAAGAATAAATCCTTTTGTACGTGAGATTTTGATTGTGTAACTGATTGTGAGCTCTACAATTAAAAGATAGCCAATTTAATTCTTCCAATATGTGAACAGAAATTATACTGAAATATTCAACCTTTTAGTCCTACTAATGCAATTTGTTGATACGCCAAAAAGTGTTTTCTAGAAAGAAAATGGGAAGGCAATGCACTTGGGGTCTTCTAAACAATCAGGGACAAACATATAGCCATATCATTGAGAAGAAGATGGCTTCGGAGATGCCTTCTTATGAAGTTTTGCAAGAGCATATTGGATCTTCTTTCTTATTACATAATCATTATGAAAAGAGAATTGACAAATTATTTGTATGGGTAGACGTAAGACAATACCTACTGTGTTCATGAAATTTCGATCCTCTAACTGAAGGTGAGCTCTAGAATTACTTTTGAAATAAAATAATGAAAATTGTAGATATTTATAACATTTGATGGGGTGTAGAAGGAGAAATTGGTGATAAAAGGTATAACATGCTTGACCCCCAAAAAAAAAAAATTATGATATGCAGGTGACATGGCTTTCAATTTCTCTTAGTGAATTTAACTACTTTGCCTCTCTCCTCTCCCATTATGACTAAGAATCCATCTTTCGCCTTCGTGTAACTGAAGTGTAAGATCTCTATGTATGTATTTTGATAAATATATAGCCTGTCTTGCTTCTAAATTTTGGGAATTAAGTTGTGATGAGATCCCAATTAAATATTAACTTTTTTACAACGGTCTTGGATAGATTTTCATCCTCCAAAAAGATTTTGTTGGTGGATGCATTAATTTGTAATCTTGTTAATTTATTTGAATGTTCTAAACTAGAGGAAAAGGATTATTCTTTTACGTCTTCCCCCAGTTATTGTAGAAAAATAATGTCACCATCCAATGGACGAAGACGAATGATAGATTGAGGCGTACCTTTTTTTTAATAGCAATTGATCGATGAGTTCATTTTAGTGTGGAAGATAAGTTATGCAAAACTCCAAAAGCTATACGGAATTTAGATAATAAAATTTCAAAGTGAGAATGAATTATACTTGTTTCATTAAGGGGGGCCCTTTTGAAATTTCTCCGAAAGTGACGTCTTATTAGTTCTTTAGAGGATCCATTGATATTAATATTTCCATAGTTTTGTACCAATTATTTTAGATCCATATATGCATGGAATCTAAATTATATTCGACTAAGGATAGTTCCACATGAAATAGGCTTTTATTTCTAAGAAGGACATGTTTATTTAAATTATTGGTTTTGGTCTCTATAATTTCATAAGGACTTAATTGGAGTTCAAGTATAAGAATCAAAAATAAAACTTGTTAAATTTTAAAAGTATGAGAATCATTCCTTAAATTTAGACGAAATTCATAAAAACCTTTAGGAACCAAAACCAACAATTCAAAATTATGGAGATCAAAAACTAAAATCTGATCAAATTATAAAGACTAACAATAATATTAAGCTTGAAATTTTTCTTGTTTCAAATCGCGTTATAACTCTGACAGAGAACCAGAAAAGGAATGAAAATGAAATCATTATCCGAAGCTCGCTTAGCGTGCGCTTAGTGTGCACTCTTTGGTCCATTGGCCCAATATTTTGCCTTCACCTTTCAGCTTCCTCTGCTATGCCTCTTGTTCTTTGATTTTGGTTCGAAGGCCCTTTATGATTTATTTCCTTGTTCCAATATCATCAAGGGCTAGTGGCCATTTTCTTGGTTGGGCTTAATAACAATATCTGCCCCAGTTCTCTCACCTGAAGACTCCTCAATGCTCGACAACTTGGTAAGGTGCCCGTATTGCATGACAGTATCTTAAATAGAATTGTCTTTAATAAGAGGATATTTATAATTAAAAAAGAAAAAAAAACTTGGTAGCATCATACGGCCGAATAGCCCAGTCAATTTGTTAGGCACTGGCTTCTCTACGTTGCGTCTCCTCCACCAAGGCCCTGGTTTGTTGCCCCAGGGGAAGTGTGGAATGATGTGATGAAGTCATGTGAGGTTGTGAGTTAACGTTGGTGCGGAAAAGTGAAAGTGAGGATAGTGTTGGGAAATATATCTAGTTTTTTTTTCCAATAAAGGATTGACAATATTTTATTCGTCAGTCTTTTATAGGCTTTATTATCATTTTGATAATAAATCAAATTTAATGGCCTGGGTATGTATGAGTTTTATTCGTGTCAAGACAAGAGGACCGAGATAATACAATGTGTCATTGTAATAAAAAAGATTTACATGCATGTCTTACACTTGGCGGGAAAAAAAGCTCAATTCCCAAGAACAAACTGAAACTAATTAATATATCGAATAAATTGTAAGAAGGACAACGTACATACAACATTTCATTTGTGTTTTTATAACCTACAATAAAGTCTCATATATATATATATGTATGTATGTATCTGTGTGTGTGCATGTTTTGAACTTGGCAAAAAACAAGACACAATCCCCACCAACAAACTGAAACTTAAAACGTACATATAACAATTCTTTTGTGTGTGTTTATTTGATGACAATTCCACCACCTCATTCATCCATGGATGGAATTGGAGAGAAAACCGGTGACTTGTTTGATGGC